CTGTTTTGCCAACATGGCATCATTAAACGTGTCCACAGTACTTTCTTTTAATTCAAAGGATTTGCATTCTCTACTAAAGTAGTAATATATGTTGGTTCTAAACTGAAAGTGATATCTATATTTTGACTTTATCTAGAAATGTGTTGTATGGTTGCGTTTATCTAGAAATGTGTTGTACGGTTGCATTGACTTTTGATCGAATATACTCTAATTCGGAGAATCAAATGTAAACCACATTTCTTTATTTTGGTTTGGGCTGAAATAATGTTACCATAAACTATTTAAAATATTAAACAAATAATTTTCATATTACAATTGCATATAATTATGTAAACATAATTTGATTTTTGTACGGAGATACATGATAGGTGAGAAGTTTGACCTGCATATAAAAATGCCTCACCACATTATTTAGTGGGAGCTTTGTCACTTTAGGATTAGTTTGACCACATATATACAACAGCTATGTTTACAGATTTAGACATTTATTTTAGTTCTTTGGACATTTTCTATAAACTTTTGTTTTATTAATCTATCTGGAAATTTTCAAAACAAAAGAAAAAAAATAAAAGTTGACTTTATTACGGAAATATATGATATGTGATATGATACTTTTTTTTGTTAATCGTGATAAGATAACTTGTATGATATTTTTTTTTTGGTGAATAGATAACTTGTATGATAATTGATGAGATAAGTTGTTAAACGGTTTCCACTCTCATGAACAATAAAAAAAAATTATTAACTATAGTCAACTCAATCTTAAGTAACTGTAACTCTATGAGAATTACAATTGGAATACTCTTCTGAAAAAAATTTCATTATGCGCATGCATATAACAGCTATTATAATTTACAGATTTAGACTTTTTTTTTTTAATTGCAAATTATAAAAACTGTTATATATACGATTTTACAACGGAAAATTCCTTCCGACCCTTGTTAGTTCTACCACAGATGACACTTTCTCTTTCATGCTTTTGACGGGACACCTACAATGATCCACGACTTAACGACACTTTGCTCTCTGCATAGAATCCTGGCGAACGGCTATAATTGTACATCAATGAAGATCTCTTGCACACTTGTCTCCATTAATTTGCAAATTTATTAACAAATCGTAGTATCTGGGACTCGAACCCAGACCTCTTTGTGTAAAAGCATTAATTTTTGCTAATTTGTGTCAATTTTGTGTGTTTGTGTCAATTTTATTTTTTGCTAATTTCTCAATTTTTTTGCTAATTTGTGTCAATTTTATATTTTAGTTACAACCTTAAATATGTTCATATTTACATTAGGTTTTATTAAAAATATAACTACTTAAGGGCGATTATAGTAAATTATAGATTTATTACATACATTTACAAACATATCTACAAATATAGTTACTCATTTAATTTTTAATACTTTTCTTTATTCGTCAACAAAAAAACTACTGTTTTATTCCATATTTATTTCATTAATAAATTAATTGGCTTCATTTTTGCTAAATGATTAAAAATTAAATATTTAATAAGACTAAAATTTATTTTACTAGAATCTCAAAACTATTAATAGAAAATTACATACCAAAAATGCAACATTTAATCTTTCTTTTTTTAAGTCAATTTTTAAAAAAAATTCCAAGTAGTTCCTGCCGTTTAATTATTATGTATACATCTGTTTTCTTAAAATCGTATGCATTCTTTGTGCAATTGTAATATTTTGAATAATGAAAATTATGTTAGACCTCTTTTTAAGACTGGTGAATAAATTATTACAAATTTAAGATTTACTCGATAGATGTCCTGATTTTTGTTTAAAACTGAATTTTAAAACATCATTTCATTTTAGCTGGAAGACTATTGTGACTACGGATAATACAAAATAATTCATTATGATTTTTTGAAAATCCGTTATATATGAATTGAGAAGCATTTTAAAAAAAATAACCTTATTTTTATGTGTGATTAACAAAATGGAGTACCTAATATTTTGTATTTTGATTAATGTACCAAGATATATATCATAAATTATGATAAACATATATGAAAAATTCACTAATCTTGATAATCATTAATATACCACTGTTTATCTATGTAATAATATAAAAATTGAACACTTTTAATATTATTAATACATTAAAATTGGTTAATAATTTTTTTGTCCCACATATAGTGCGGATTGTTATCTAGTTTATCTTTTTTACTGTAACATTTTCATTGTGAGTACGTACATGACTAAGCATAGTTTACATTATGTCTGTAATCAATTTACATTTATTTTTAAATATTTTAAAAGTAATTTATCATCCGTCAACATATTTATTGTATTAATTTTAAATATGTTAGAAACTTAGAATTACAGTAAGTATTTCGGTAATTTTTCATTCTTTGCCAATATTTTTAATAACTTAATCTTCTCACGCACAACGTGAATAATCATCCAGTAGACTATTATAAGAAATAGAAATGATATGTAGACCATTTCAATATACCATATTAAGATTAAATAAAATGTGGATATACCCTTAAGATACCGGAGACTAGGTTCTCCGATCTCGTCTATAAATTTCTGCCGTCTCAACCAAAACAACCACCATCTCTCTCTCTCACTCTTAATAATTCCCTCTCTTGTCTCGTCCTTTATACCACCATTAACATAACGTGACGGTAAATATTATTTACAAGTTTATTTTATCTTCATCCAAATTCACACACACACACATATAAAAATATAATCAAAATTTTTGTTTACACTCATTTAAATTTTTTGATCATTTATACTTTTAATTAGCTAGCTGAATTTTTTTATAAATTTGTTAACTTTATTAGTATTGAATAAAATTAAAAACTGTATAGTAGCATCTTAAGAATATTTACAAAAAAAGATTTTCCGTACAAATATAAACTTTTTTTTTACTTCATGCAAAACTTTTTACTTCATGCAAAACAGGAGATGGCCGATCAACAGCTAGGAGTGCTAAAGGCACTTGATGTTGCAAAGACGCAACTTTACCATTTCACGGCGATTGTCATCGCCGGTATGGGTTTCTTTACGGACGCCTACGATCTCTTTTGTGTTTCCTTGGTCACCAAGCTTCTTGGCCGCCTCTACTACTTCAATCCAGCGTCAGAAAAGCCTGGCTCACTTCCCCCTCATGTTGCGGCTGCAGTCAACGGTGTGGCCCTTTGTGGAACCCTTGCTGGTCAGCTCTTCTTCGGATGGCTCGGTGACAAACTTGGACGGAAAAAAGTGTACGGTATCACTTTGATCATGATGATTGTTTGCTCAGTTGCTTCCGGTCTCTCGTTAGGCAATACGGCCAAGGGTGTCATGACGACTCTTTGCTTCTTCAGGTACAATTTTTGTAGCCACAAGCCTAATATCGTATACGTCGCAGATACAAGCTCGAGACTCGAGAGATTAGTCACTATTTCGACCTAGATTATGGTTACTTAAAATATTGATATCTTGACGATTATGTATAGGTTTTGGCTCGGGTTCGGCATTGGAGGTGACTACCCTCTATCTGCCACCATCATGTCTGAATACGCTAACAAGAAGACTCGTGGGGCTTTCATCGCGGCAGTGTTCGCTATGCAAGGTGTAGGTATCTTGGCGGGAGGTTTTGTGGCACTCGCAGTGTCTTCTATATTCGACAAAAAGTTCCCATCGCCGACGTATGCCCAAGACAGGATTCTCTCAACGCCTCCTCAAGCTGATTACATTTGGCGAATCGTTGTCATGTTTGGCGCTTTACCCGCGGCTTTGACCTACTACTGGCGTATGAAGATGCCTGAAACTGCCCGCTACACTGCTTTAGTTGCCAAGAACATTAAGAAAGCCACACAAGACATGTCCAAGGTCTTACAAGTGGATCTTGAGGTTGAAGAAAGGGCGGAGGACCCCAAACTAAACTATGGCTTGTTCTCCAAGGAATTCCTTAGACGCCATGGGCTTCATCTCCTTGGGACTACCTCCACTTGGTTTTTGCTTGACATCGCCTTCTACAGCCAAAACTTGTTCCAAAAGGATATTTTCTCGGCCATTGGATGGATCCCAAAGGCAGCCACTATGAACGCCATCCATGAGGTTTTCAAGATTGCTAAGGCTCAGACTCTCATTGCCCTTTGCAGTACAGTCCCAGGTTACTGGTTCACGGTTGCTTTTATTGATATCATTGGAAGGTTTGCGATCCAACTAATGGGATTCTTTTTCATGACGGTCTTTATGTTCGCCATTGCCTTCCCATACAACCACTGGATTTTACCAGATAATCGTATCGGATTCGTGATTATGTACTCACTCACATTTTTCTTCGCCAACTTTGGACCCAATGCAACCACTTTCATTGTCCCAGCTGAAATCTTTCCGGCCAGGCTTAGATCTACGTGCCATGGAATATCAGCCGCGACAGGTAAGGCTGGAGCTATCGTTGGAGCCTTCGGGTTCCTATATGCTGCTCAGCCACAGGATAAGACCAAGACAGACGCAGGATACCCACCGGGCATCGGAGTCAAGAACTCACTGATCATGCTTGGTGTCATTAACTTTGTTGGTATGCTCTTCACCTTCCTCGTCCCTGAGCCCAAAGGCAAGTCCCTTGAAGAACTCTCCGGCGAGGCTGAGGTTGATAAATGATTATGCTGTGATATATTTGTCATTGGTTTTGTGCATTCTTACCTTTTACGTTTTTTTTTTGCGATGAGTGAATTATATTTGCAATGGTGTACTACTTCTACTTTTGCTTTTTGTTTTAATGTGTGTGCAACCTGTTAAGAAGTAAACTCATGTTATGTTCATAACTGTGAAATTCTAGCCGCTTAACACGGCCCATGAATACACATGAAATAATAGCTATCTTTATATATATAAATCTCTATATTATTTTCACCTTTTTAAAACCCAACAATATATCCAACGTCTGTAGATTATTATTCATTGGTAAAAAAATTTCAAGTGGAATTAGGCCATATAGAACTAGATTTAACAATCTAACCAACAAAACGAGCCCGAGACATGTCCAAGGTCTTACAAGTGGATATTGAGGTTGAAGAAAGGGCGGAGGACCCCAAACTAAACTATGGCTTGTTCTCCAAGGAATTCCTTAGACGCCATGGGCTTCATCTCCTTGGGACTACCTCCACTTGGTTTTTGCTTGACATCGCCTTCTACAGCCAAAACTTGTTCCAAAAGGATATTTTCTCGGCCATTGGATGGATCCCAAAGGCAGCCACTATGAACGCCATCCATGAGGTTTTCAAGATTGCTAAGGCTCAGACTCTCATTGCCCTTTGCAGTACAGTCCCAGGTTACTGGTTCACGGTTGCTTTTATTGATATCATTGGAAGGTTTGCGATCCAACTAATGGGATTCTTTTTCATGACGGTCTTTATGTTCGCCATTGCCTTCCCATACAACCACTGGATTTTACCAGATAATCGTATCGGATTCGTGATTATGTACTCACTCACATTTTTCTTCGCCAACTTTGGACCCAATGCAAACACTTTCATTGGTCCAAGTTGACATCTTTCCGGCCAGGCTTAGATCTACGTGCCATGGAATATCAGCCGGGACAGGTAATGGTGGAGCTATCGTTGGAGCCTTCG